GCGTGGTGTGTTGATAAAAATGAATAATTTTTATAAGCGAAATCAGATTCAGAAACGTAGAGAACTTGAAGATGAAATTAAATTAAAAGAAAGGGCTTTGATTTTAAATCCTTCTGATGAGAATATTAAAGAATCTGTAAAGTTATTAAGGTCACAATTTAATATGTTGATAGCAGATCAAGCTGCAACCAACTTATTATTTATGAAACAAAATACATTTTGTAATGCCAATAAGCCTGGGAGGTGGTTGGCTTATCAATTAAGAAAGAAACAGAGACAGAGAATAATAGAGAAAATAAATTATAAGGGTAAATTAGTTTTTCAGAAGGAATTGATTAAAAAATCTTTTTTGGATTACTACCAAAACCTATATAAATCTACTAATGTACAAATGTTAGATATAAATAAATATCTAGCTGAGGCAAGTTTTCCTAAATTGACTGAGGATCAGAAACATGAAATTAATGGTTTAATTACTAAGGAAGAAATTGCCTCAGCAATTCAACAATTGAAATTAGGGAAAGCACCGGGTACCGATGGGTTAACAGCGGTTTATTATAAAGCTTTAATGGAGGAGATGATTCAACCATTGAATGATCTTTTTAATGGTATTTTACAGGGTGTAGAGATTCCTCCCTCATGGCGTAGTGCGTTTATATCATTGATTCCAAAGGAGGATCAAGATCTTACCTTACCAAAAAATTATAGGCCTATATCTCTTTTAAATGTGGATTATAAGATATTTGTTAAAATTTTGGTAAATAGGCTTATGAGGGTGGTGCATCACCTTGTGCATAAAGATCAGTCAGGTTTTATAACAGGAAGGTATATGAAAAATAATGTGAGACAAATTATTAATTTATTAGAATACTTAGACAAGAACAACCAAGTTCCTGCAGGGCTCATATTTTTAGATGCTGAAAAAGCATTTGATCAATTAAATTGGCACTTTATGTTAAGAGTAATGGAAGAAATGAATTTTGGTGAAAAGATATTACAAGCTTTTAAGGTAATATATCAAAAACAAACGGCACAACTTATTGTTAACGGAGGTTTGTCAGAGGTTTTTACAATAGAGAAAGGTACTAGACAGGGGTGTCCTTTGTCGCCATTGTTGTTTGTTTTAACACTGGAAATATTATTGATTAAAATTCGAGAGTCTCAGGAAATTAAAGGAATAGAAGTCAATAAAAAAGAATATAAGTTGAGAGCTTTTGCGGATGACTTGGTTGTTACTTTGTCGCAACCTGAGCATTCTGTAGTAAATTTATTACAGTTGATTCATCATTATGGTTTGGTTTCGGGTTTTAAGATTAATGTAAATAAGACTAAAATTTTACCTAAAAATATGTCTAATCAGGAGAAGCAGATTTTGGCTAATTTGACAGGTTTTGAGATTGTTAATAAGGTAAAATATTTGGGGGTGATGTTGTCTGTTTCTAATGCAAAATTATTTAAAAATAATTATGAAAGGTTGTGGGTCAGGGTACAGAAGGACTTGAAGAATTGGGAGAAGTTGCAACTATCCCTCATGGGAAGAATCGCAGTGATAAAAATGAATATCCTACCCAAGTTTCTTTTCTTGTTCCAAATGTTACCGATTTTGAAAAATGAGATTAATTTAAGTGAATGGCAAAAGGGTCTTAATAAATTTATTTGGGCAGGGAAAAAGCCAAGGGTTAAGTTTAAAATTATGCAAGACTTCCGTGAGAGGGGTGGACTCAAGGTACCAAATTTGAAATTATATTATGATGCGGTGGTTTTAACATTAATTAGTGATTGGGTAAATTTGACAAATCCTGAGTTACTTCATTTAGAGGGATGGGATTTACTTTATGGTTGGCATGCCTACTTAATATTTAACAAAAAAATGGATTGGGTTTTTAAATCTCATATTTTAAGAATTTCTTTACTTAGGGTTTGGAGAAAATATTATAGAAGTGATTTCAAAGTACCATTATGGGCTATACCTTGGCATGCGATAGAAGGAGTAAAAAGAGGAGTAAAAATGGATGTGGTGTCTTATAGTCAGCTACTCAGATGGGATGGGCAAAACTGGCAGTTAAGATTACGGGAAGATTTAGCGCAAGAAAATATTATTTATTCCTGGTTTCAATATAGGCAACTAGTAGATAAATGGAAGGTGGATTGCAAATTGGGTTTTCTTAGAGAAGATGGAAATTTTATTAAACAAGTTAAGGATCAAAGACAAACCCATATTAAGAGAATTTATGGGGTATTAGTTGAAATGGACTCTGAAACGGAATTAATTAAAGATTGTATGATTAGATGGGCGCAGAATTTTGGTGAATCAGTTCCATTGGACATCTGGGAAACTATTTGGGTGAGAAATGTCAAATTTACACAAGCACAGAACCTCAGGGAGAATTTTTATAAAATGTTTTATAGATGGCACCTTGATCCACAAAAAATGTCCCTTATGTACCCTGACGTGCAACCCAAATGTTGGAGATGTGGTTATAAGGATGCTTCCTATTATCATATTTGGTGGTCATGTAGAGAGATAAAAGCATTTTGGATTAAAATATGGTGGAATATTCAGAGAATTTTTAGAAGGAGGGTAAAATTTACTCCGCAATTATTTTTGTTAGGTATTGTTACAGATTGTGATAAAAAGGAGGTTGTATTGATGTTAAATTTGATTACAGCCGCTAGGCTGTTAGTAGGACAATATTGGAAGAAGGAATCTTTGCCTACATTGCAGGAATGGTTTCTTAAAGTAGCTTATTTGGCGGAAATGGCAAAGATTTCGGCTTTCTTGAAGCAACAAACGCAAGAGAAGTTTCTTGCTGTTTGGGATAAATGGATAAAATTTATACAATTTAGATTGGGTATACAAAAATATCATATAGCTTTTTTATAAGTTTTATTTTATATATACATATAGGTATTTTTTTTTTCCTTTTTCTTTTAGATATAAATATTATTTTTTAATTTAATTTTTTATTCTTATTTTTAATTTTTAATTAAGCCTATATTCTGCTCTGGGAAGCTCGGGGGGGGGGAGGGAGGGTTCTTGTGGGGGGTGGGTGAGGGAGGGGTTTTTTTGTTTTTTTTTTTTTTTTTTTTTTTTAATATTTAATGTTTAGTGTTCTTTTTGTATATGTTGTTTTTTGTATTGTTTTTGTCTTTTTGTAAAATTTATAAAACTTAAAAAAAAAAAAAAAAAAAAAGATAAATCTTGTTTATTCCTTCTTCCACTAATATCTCCCAATTGATAAAATATTTATCTATACATATCTAGCTAAACAAAATACTATCAACCTTAAATCATTTGAATCCGTTAAACAAAGTTCTAATTTTGTCCAATTTATTATCAAACCTAATAATATCCATAGTATCAAACAAAACTAGAACATCTCTTCATTTTTCTTCATCCATTATATAATAATTTTCATACAAATAAACTCCCAGTAGCTAATTCTTAAAGGGAAATGTGCCTTTCTAAGCTAGTTCACTCAGCAGCTTGTCTTTTCTGTCTCTGGAGGCTTTTCCTTGTTTGATGAATATATGGAAGAGAGAAAATATGGGGGGGGTTCAAATTTCTTCCTTCAGAAGGAGATGGGAATGAGAAAGAGGGAGGGAGGGAAGTCCTGCCTTAGCACTTGGCCACCAGCAGCCCTGCCATTGACTTTGCTTGTCAAAAGGTTGCAAAAGGGGACCACATGACTCTGGAACACTGTGACCATCATAAATATGAATCAGTTGCCAAGCATCCAAATATAAATCACATGACTCTGGGCATGCTGCAATGGTCATAAATGTGAAAAATGGTCATAAGTCATTTCAGTGCAATTGCAACTTTCAACAGGTTTTTGGTTTTTTTTGGTCATCAAGTTTTTGACACCTTGCTAGGTGGTACTCGAATATTGCCATATCCTAAAAGTGGTACAATTGGTGAAAAGGTTGAAAAGCCCTGCCCTAAGCATCATCCTCAGCAGTATTAGGAAGCATCACAATTTGTCTCTATGCAATACTTATGTTTCAATCAGTGCTTTAACAAAGACCTGAATGCCACTTTAGGCTGCCTCTATGGTGGGCTGGAGATGAAAAGGGGACAATGTTATGAGAAGATGTTTCTTAACATTGGTTAGGAAAGCATCAGTGTGCATAGTTAGTAGGCTGTAAGGAGGAACCATGAGAAAACATTTTAAAAAAATAGGCAAATGAGATAATCTACTACCCACTTACTGTATTGACAAAGACCTTCAGATGAAAGAAATGACTTAAGAGTAAGTTGTAAATAATGTTGTACAGGTTTATAAATCATCAGCATTTAGCACACTAATATGTAAACATATGAACAGCACACATTTAAATATTAATTTAGATTTGGTGCTCTTTTATTGGTGATTTCATTTGGAGTCCTTCACAGAAGAAAGATTTATAGGTGTATCAAGTTGGTTTCTCAGATCAAAAACAATGTTAGTAATGCAGTTATAGTCTTCTTCACTGATTTAATTAAAGTGCTAGTGGCTAAAAAATTGGGCAATGAAGATATCACAATGTTCTAAGACTGAGCAACCAATGATCTTGAGATAAATCTGAGCTGATGAAATATTACATCATGTTGTACTCTGGAACAGGATAGGTTACTTTATTTGACCTGTACCTGTGCTGTACTGATATGGTAGCTCACTGAACTAATCTAATGGAATCAATTGGTTACCATGACTACACAAGTGAACTCTATTTGATGGTTATTCTGTTATTTACAACAGCATATGTAAATAATTCTTACATGCATTTTAGTTTTTAATATATATAAAGTGACTAAGCCGCTATGGGATGTGCAAATATTATGGTTCTACAAGAAAGCAATACCAACATCCCTTGCTGATTGCTCCATGTAGATCACTCTAAGGTGGATTGTTGCACAACAACACCCCATAATATTTTCCAAGGAGAACAGAATTACCTCTCTGAGGAAATATGCTGTGTGGTTTTTTTTACTGTTGCTCAAAGGGGAAGGGGGGCAGATGTCCTCTAAATCTAATCACACTGGAAACCAAGTCCTGCCTCTCTACAATGGTAAATCAGAAATGGATAGTGGGTGTATCTACTCTGAACATCATGATGCCTTGCAACATGCAGTTGTTTTTATCTTAATCATCTTACCTGATGTTCAGCTCTGGAACAGGATCAGTATTATATTTGACCTGTACCTGGATTTAAGGACAGCTAGTTTCTCCATTCTCTCTCATTCTTCCAGGTACGTTTCAGCTATGTGGCTCTTTCTGCCTGTCCTGGTGGCTGTCCTTTTCCTCCTTTGCCGTTGGTACCTGGAAAGACAAATGGTGGAGAACCTGACGGAAAAATATGTCTTCATCACTGGCTGTGATTCTGGCTTTGGGAACCAGCTGGCCAGGCAGCTGGATGCTCAGGGTCTGCGGGTGTTGGCCTCTTGTCTCACTCCAGAAGCAGCAGAACAGCTGGAAAAGGTCACATCGGACCGGTTAAAAACCACTCTGCTGGATGTCACCAATGCTGAGAACGTTGCAGCAGCAACTGAGTGGGTGAAAACCTGCGTGGGGAACAAAGGTAATGGACTCTGTTTATTATCCTAGGTCAGCGGTTCTCAACCTATGGGTCGCGACCCCATTTGGGGTCGATCGACCATTTTACGGGGGTCGCCAAACAATGCGATCCGCCATTTTCCCCCCTCAGGGGGCGGCGCCGCGCATGCGTGCCACGCATGGGGGGCGTGCTGCGCATGTGCACCGCGCTGCGCATGCGCGGCACGCGGCGCATGCGCGGCACGTTTGTGTGACGGGGGTCGCCGTCACACAAACGTTGAGAAACGCTGTCCTAGGTGGTATTTTTATCCAGAAGCTGTGCAAAAAAAAAAGGGGGCTTCTTTCAAGCTATCAGGTTTTACCTCTCTAGGAGACATAGTACATTTTCTCATTATGCATTATTGATTTCATTAATTAGTCAAGTGCACATTTAAACCAAACTCTTGATTCATTAATTATGTACTTATTTAGTTTGTTTCTTAAGTTGATTTTATACATAGAGGCAGTGGTGGGATTCAAATACGTGAACAACCAGTTCTCTGTGTGGATGCCACTTCCGGAAGTCCATTCTGGGCCCGGGCAACAAAAAATTAGCTACTGGTTCTGCCGAAGTGGTGCGAACTGGCTGAATCCCACCACTGCATAGAGGGTTTTTTCCCTTGTAATTTGGTCAATAAGAAGAGACATAGAAATAAGAACTCTCTTATGAAAGAAATGTCTTTGCATTTCTGTGCGTTCAGCACACAGAGACAAAACAAAAAAGACTTGAGGGAGTCAAATTCTTTCCAATGCGTCTCAAATATTTACAGGATATAGAATGTGGTACTTAAGAGCTTAGGACTTAAGACAAGATGTACAGAATCCATAGACAACAGAATTTGTTAAACTCATATTCAGAATTAGCTCAGCAATATTCTTGAAGGGAATACTGGATAATATAGTTTAAATAGATAATATAGATGACTGATAATGAGCAAGTTCAGTTTCCAACTAATCCCGCAAGGGGAATAGAGGTGGTGACAGGAGCTGGAAGTTGCCAGGGAAGGCAATAGACAACTGTGCTAAAGAAATTTTCCAGAATTGGGCAGTTGTATTGGCATGTCCATAGTAATAACAATCATCCCTACAGACCCTTGTACATCAAAACCATATACTCAAGGAGGATCTAAATCACCACAATGCTTTGCATAAATGGTCATAAAATTGCAGCTGCATGAGACTTGTCCTGTCTTCATCTTCTCAGGGGGCATAAAAATAATAGGAACAATAAAAAAGTATAGCTGCATGAGATATCAGCAGAATCAGTGGAAAATCTGAAGGGCACCCATTTGTGAAAATGCATTACCAGGCAGATGCAGAAATCATGCATCCCATCTTTCTTGCTGCCCAGCTAAAATGATCTTGGAAGTCAGTGCCCAGGAGCCAACACAGAATGGACATGCCCTTAGCGTCATGGAAGTAAAGGAGCTAGGGGACAGGTTGAATCTCTTTTGTGCCCCTATGCAATGATTTACGCTAAAAGATTGTATGATCCATACAATAATTTAAAATGAAAAGGTCCAATACATATTAATTAAATTACATGTGATTTGATCATGATATTAGAGGAAATAAAACATAAAAGGAAAAGAACAGGAACAGCAGGTTCTAAAGTGGATCAAACTTGTATCTCCTATTTGTAATTTATCTTATGAAATATAGATTTAAGGATTTAAGTTAAGAATGACTCAGCAAGATAGCAATAGCACGGCACTTATATGCCATGTCACAGTGCTTTATAGCCCTCTCTAAGCGGTTTACAGAGTCAGCATATTGCCCCCAACAATCTGGGTCCTCATTTCATCGACCTTCGAAAGATGGAAAGTTGAGTCAACCTTGAGCAAGTAACCATCATAACCCTGGCAGTCAGTAGAATTAGCCTGCAACACTGCATTCTAACCATTGCATCACGCTGGCAGAGCAGAGCAGCACCTGAAGGCAGAACAAGAAGCAATGGATGGAAAGTGATCAAGGAGAAAACCAACCAATAAGGAGAAATTTCTTGAAAGTTAGAACAATTAATCAGTGGAATGGCGTGCCTTCAGAAGTTGTGGTTGCACCATCACTGGAGGTTTCTAAGAAGCAATTTGACAACAGTTTGTCTGAAATGGTATAGGGTCTCCCACTTGATCAGGGGGCTGGACTAGAAGACCTCTAGGGTCACTTCTAACTCTGTTATTCTGTTAAGCAAATGACATGAAAACAAGGAACAGATATTTTAAAGCTAAATGGCCACAATATGGGACTGGAAGTCGAAAAGTGCTAACTAAAAAAGAAATAAAGGGTTCCATTAAATCTTTAGAGCAGTTTGATTTGACACATTTGCAAATGAAGCATTCCATGGAATTTAAAGTGTGCATGATCTAACAGCTGTATTAAAAACACAGCTATGAGGCGAAGGGATTATTGTGCCCACTTTAGGAGAAATCAGATTTTGACCCAGAGGGCTATTCCTTCTCATTGAACTGATTGATGGCAAATGTTCAGTACTGAACTTAGTAATTAGGATCTGTGGATTCTCTTACACCTTTTCATTCATTATTCAGGAACAGGGAAGAGAAAAGCAGAGCCAATGACTATCAACTCTAAAGCAGTGATCTGAAGTGAATAGGGAAGGCATTACAGAAATGAAAGGGGAGGGGCTATTTTATGCATATTTCTCTTTTTCTTCTTAAAGAGTCTAAATACTGTATAAGATATCTGCTGCCTAAAGAAATACAGAACCTTTGGGAAAATGGATATGTAATGAAAAGAAAAGCTGATGCTGGGGAGGGGGAAGTAATATAACTTTTTCCCATAATTCATTGAAACTTTTGATGAGAACAGTTCTAAATATATTATTATCAGTGTTGGGTAAGTTTCAGAATAAAACTAATAAACTGTCAGCAAATTATCACAGGCTCTCTGTTTTTAATGTAATCCTTAAAATATATTTTATTCTTACCTTTGTGGAAATGGATACGTAATGAAAAAAAATATCTAAAGCTGATCTTGGCTGGGGGGGGGGTATTATTTTTCTTCCATAATTCTTTTAAGCCTCTGTTGAGAACAGGTCCTAAATATTTGACATTACTAGTTAACTTTTACAGATTACATATACATTACTATCAGTGTTCAGTAGGTTTCAGAGTAAAATAAATATACTATCAGCAAATTATCACAGGATCTTAGTTTTTAATATAATCCTTAAATATATTTGACTAATTTTTAATTAAAACATATTAAATTGCCATAGCCAACAATTCAGATGGCCAATTAACTGCCTCTATAATATATCATATTTATGTCTTTAATAAAGTTTTGTGCCTATAACCAATTTTAATATGCAGTATACAGTATTACAGTATACTGCACTGTATCTTTAAATCCAATCATCTAGATTTCCAAAGCAAGTTCACTATGCTTTTTCTTTTCTCCCTGTCCAAAATCAGGACATATAATTATCAGATGAAAATTAATACCATGGAAACAGAAAGTTTACCAAAATTACGTCTATTTTTAGTTAGCAAATTGAATTCAGCATGAACTACAACCCTATGTATTCTTGTGGCCCTGAGGTCAAACAACAGGGGGGCAAGAGCCTTGGGCTGAGTTCCTGTTTCCTTATGGCAGGGGTAGGCTACCTTGGCTCTTTTATGACTAGTGGACTTCAACTCCCAGAATTCCTGAGCCAGCATGGCTCAACTTGGAAACCTCTCCCTTTCCCCTCAGCATGGCTGCCTCAGGAATTCTGGGAGTTGAAGTCCACGGGTCATAAAAGAGCCAAGGTTGCCTACCCCTGCCTTAGGGTAAAGCAACAGTTGAATCGTTTCAGGTATTGTTCTGACAAACCAGCTGTTTGAAGGTAGAAAATGCTGCCAGAGTAGAAAATTCCTAGGGGAGCTTAAGGTCTTCCTTCATATTTCATGGGGCCCCAATTATTTATTGATTAGATTTTTATCCTGCCTTTATTACTTTATGATGAAGCATGATGGCTCAGTAGTTAAAGAAAGCTGACAGGCCACGTATGAGACCAAAGTGCCATGCGACAGGGTGAGCTCCCATCCTTGCCCCAGCTCCTACCCACCTAGCAGTTCGAAAGCATGAGAATATGAGTAGATAAATAGGTACCACTTTGATGGGAAGGTAACAGCGTTCTCTGTGCCTCGGCATATAGTCATGCTGGCTACATGATCATGGAAGTAGATTTGGACAATGCTGGCTCCCTCAGCTAAGAAACAGATGAACACTGCCCCCTAGAGTTGAATATAACTGGACAGGGGAAACCTTTACTTTTACCTTTATTATTTTATAAGCAACTCAAAGCAGCAAACACAATACAGCTACTGTAGTTGTCAACTTTACAACAATTGATCTAATAAATGTTCGATGTTACAACGGGACTGAAAAAAGTGACTTATGACCATTTTTCACACTTACAACTCTTGGTAACGAGATCAAAATTCAAACTCTTGGCACAGGACTTATATTTAGGACAGTTGCAGTCCCATGTTCACATGATCACCTTTTGTAACCTTCTGACAAGCCAAGTCAAGGAGAAAGCCAATAGTAGAAGTCTAGAACAATTGAGCATGGTTACCTGGCCATGCCCGCTTCATTGCAGGGCCCCCACCACAGCGACCCATCATGGGCATTTATCATTGGTTGACCCCCTGCTGGCATTTTTCCCCCACCACTAGTGGGGAACTAAACTTTGCCACTAGTCCCCCATCCCTTCCTCCTGGGCAATTGATTCACAGAGGGACAATTTTTTCCCAGCCAATTGGCTGTACAGGGCAAATAGCCACCTGTCCTGGCAGACAATCAGCTACCGGGAGAAGCTGAAAGTGCATAGGGCCATGGTTTGCCTGATGAATTTCCCTCCTGCCAGTGAGCACCTGTGCAGAATGTAGCTGGCTAGCTGGGAAAACCAATACAGAATATTACTGCTGATTGGGAAATGTTTTCTCTCTCTGCTGCACCATTCATTGCTCCCAAGAGAAGATACTGCAGAAATTTGACTGGTCCTTGCCTGGTCAAGTAGTTAAAGGGAAGCATAGTTAAATGGGCTAGTGTTGCAGGGGTCTGTGGTGGAATGGGCATGGCTAGGCAGCCGTGTTCAATCATCCCATTGTCAATTGGACTTATTCAATGATGACAATGAAGGTGCTTACAGGGAAGAGGTAGAGGGTTTGGTGAACTGGTGTAATAAGAAGAGCTTAGTTCTAAATGTAGGGAAAACAAAGAGATCATTGTTGTTTTTAGAAAAGGCATACACCTTTGTGGGGGTAGTTAGTACTCTTAAGTTTCTAGTGTGCAGAAAATGGGTAGGATAGCTTGGTTGCTTTCTGTGTCATATGAGAAGAGAACATTTTCCTTCTCCTGTCCTTAGATTGTATTACTGTTGTATATTGTATTACTGTTTGGTTTGCACAGGAAGGCTATGCAGAGAGTGGTGAGAATGGCAGAAAAGATTATTGGAAGTTCACTTCCTTGTATATATGTATGTAGGTATGAATAAAAGAATAAAACACGATCACCAGGAGGGTTGAAGTAAGAATACTTTACTAAAAATATACTATACTTATACTAAAAAGTTGCCAAGCTTTCGCTGGGGGAACTCCCCAGCATCGTCAGGGCTAAAAGGCCATTGCAATAAAGGTGGTTTAAGTAGGTTCAAGTAACGGCTCCTAGACCGTGTTACTGGCCCTAATTGGCCAGCTGATAACCAAGATGTGTCTATAACGTTATGTTCATGTAAGTATGTATGTACAGTATTATACACATACATACATTCTTTTGGGCATCAGAATTTCATTTTAATATGTGCCAGTATATACAAAGAAAAAGTGGTAATAAAGGTTATCTTATTTTATTTTATCTTATTCACACGTTACTAATTTAATAACTGCAGTGATTCACTTAACAATTGTGGCAAGAAATATGGTAAAATGGGGCAAAGCTCACTTAACAAATGTCTCACTTAGCAACAGAAGTTTTCAGCTCAATTGTTGTCATAGGTCAAAGACTACCTATACTTCTTCCTCCTCCTATTTTCCCCTCAACAACAACCCTGTGAGTGGGTTAGGGAATTTTATTTTTGGGAGTTATGAGTGACAAAAAAGCAGAACTGAAGGAACTGGGATTCCAGATAAGATTATTCCAAGACAGAATCATGAAGATCCTGCTGAATCCCATTTTTTCCCCTCACAGGACTTTGGGGGTTAGTAAACAACGCAGGCATTAATTATCCGGTTGCTCCCAATGAGTGGCTGAAGAAGGAAGATTTTGCCAAGGTGCTGGAAGTCAACTTACTTGGGCTAATTGATGTGACGCTTCACATGCTACCCCTGGTGAGGAGAGCCAGAGGGAGAGTGGTCAACTTGTCTAGTGTGGTGGGAAGACTGGCACACCCCGGAGGTGGATATTGCCTCTCCAAGTTTGCTGTGGAAGCCTTCTCAGACACTCTGAGGTAAAATGTAAACCTAGTAGCTTTTTTTCTTTCAGGATCCAATCTGGGTTGTCACCAGGACCAGAGGTTTTGTCTTCTGAGCTTTTGGACTTGTGCTGGAGCCCATCCTCAGGGAACTTCTCTCTGTTCTGTGTGTGGTATTTATATGCCCCCATAGGCATCCCTCCCCAGGAGCAACATCAAGCTGGCCACTCCCACCCTGGCCACGTCCATCGTCTGCCATGACCACTGTAGCCATGCCCACCCAGCGGGCCACACCCACCCAGCAGGCCATGCCCACCCGGCACCCGGCAATACATAAGTGGGTTTTGGGTTGCAGTTTGGGCACTCGGTCTCTAAAAGGTTCACTACCACTGCCCTACACCAATTTCAGACAAGTGGCTGTCCAGTCTCTTCTTAAAAACCTCCAGTGATGAAGCACCCTCAACTTCTGAAGTCAAATTGTTCCACTGGTTAATTGTTCTCACTGTTAGGAAGTTTCTCCTTAATTCCAGGTTGCTTATCTTCTTGATTAGTTTCCATCCATTGTTTCTTGTCCTGCCCTCTGGTGCTTTGGAAAATAAGTTGACCCCGTCTTCTTTGTGACAGTCCTTCAAATACTGGAATACTATTATCATGTCACTCCAGTTCTTCTTTTCTCCAGACTAACCATACCCAGTTCCTGCAACCATTCTTCATATGTTTTAGTCTACAGCCTTTAATCATGTTAGTTGCTTTTCTCTGCACTTTTTCCACTCTTATCATCATTTTTGTAATGTAATGACCAAAATTGGATGCAGTATTCCATGTGTAGTCTTACTAATGTTTTATAAAGTGGTACTAATACCTCACGTAATTTTGATTCTATGCTTCTTATACAACCAAAGATTGTATTAGCTTTTTTGGCTGCTGCCACACACTGCTGGCTCATATTTAAGTGATCATCCACTAGGACTCCAAGGTCCCTCTCTGTTACTATGTCAACACTACAATGATCTTGGCTGAAGCCATTTTTTCTTTGTTTTTAGTTGCCACAGTACTGAGAGGAGTGCTGGCGGGGTGCTGGCCTCAGGCAGTTTTACTTCTTCCATGATGAAATCTTCCCCGAGTCTTCGTCAGCCTATTCCCTTAGTTTAGGAACAGCGACTGGGTTCGGGACCCCTAGATGGGGTCTTCAAAGAACTTTGAGGCATTGTTTATCTTAAAGAATCTTTAATTGAGCAACATAGCTTTGGCACATACATAGGCGAAGCCAAAATCTGAATTCTCCTTCCCTAAACACATAGTATTGAAGCATAATTCGCTCCTCCATTTAACAGTCATTAATCACATTCTCCATTAGTTTGAAGTACAAACTTTCCTTCCTGTTCCATAACCCACCATTTCTTATCTTCTCTTATTACAAACAACCTTGAAGAATACTCTACTGAGATATTGTTATGGCTACTTATCCCCATGCACATTCTTTCCCCTCCCCTCCAGCACCATCTAATTCTAACTCTAAAAGTAATACACAAGTTAAATAGAAAATGTCTGCATCTTCGTATATTGTCAAAGCAACAACATCCAATGTTAGCAGCATTGACAGTTAGACTAAACAATAATTTGTCCCGTGGGAACCAAGGTCATAGCTGCCTGATTTTTGGTGGGCTGAGCCTTCTGTTAGAAAGCCCACCAAAATATTCTATTGGGGAACATGGATAATTACATAGTGTTGGGGTGAGAAGTTCAACTTTGTAACATTGTAACGCTTGAGAGAGAACTCCAGACTTGGTTTCACTTTTGACTGTGCTGATACTTTGTAGCCAATAATCATATTCTTTAAGAAAACCTCTTGCTTTGGAGTTCTGCTTTTACTGGTCTCATCTATCAGAACCATGTCATTAAACCAAGTCTCCTTAAAATTTTAAAACTTGGGGTCCTGAGCCCCGATCGCCTACCTAACGCTTTTAGGAGGATGAAAAAGACACAGGGAAGAGATCGAGATGGAGAAGAAGGAGGAGTCAGCCACTGGTTTCGGTGCAACATCAGCTGATGGAATGCAGGCTACAGCCCAGGTGGAGAGTGTAGTACTTGCAGCTGGAGTGAGACCAAAAGCCCAGGCAATCCCATCGGAGAGGCTGATGCAGCAAGAAGCAGTACTGACACTCGGAGGAATTGACAATTGGATGCTGCCCTGCAGCGGAGAAACACCTTTAAAGTTGCTGAGGTTGAATTCCCATTGATCTCATCCCACTGCTCTCATTCACCAGTGCTGAGGAAGATGAAGCGGCCAGCTGGGTGGGATGAATCAGGGGAGTGGAAGTACCTGACTGCCATCCACAGCCACTCCGTCGAGCGGCTGAGGGAGAAGTTTGACTGACTGAAGATGGGAGAAGTGGAGCTGATTGCCCGCCAGGTGATTTCCAATGGACAAGGTGACAGGCACTCCCCAACCCTTCCACCTCCTCAGCGAAGCCCCAGTCCCATAGTGATGGTTCATGCTGCCTCCCCATTGCCTAGACCAACCTTAACATTAAGCCCAAACTGAGATCGACACCCTGCCAGCCCAGGTTCCCAGCCAAGAGGTTACCAGGGATAGGCCTTTCTGTGACCTCAGCATCAGCGGCCAGGTATACAGCAATTTATTGGGGGCAATGGCCTGTGGACTCATCCCCTATGAAACCTGCATTTGATGGGGACCCCAAGAAACTGTCTTTCTTCCTGAATCAGGTGTGGGCTCACCTGAATTTTTAAGCAAATGCTTATCCGGACAGGGCCGGAATGGTTGATGCCATAGCAGCGAACCTGGAAGGGGAAGCTGCTGAATGGGTGACTCGCCTACATGATGAGCGGGCACCAGAACTGTGAGACATAAATCTATTTATGGGTGAACTGAAAGCCAGATCTGAAGATGAATCTCAAGCCCTGCAAGCTGAAAAGGACATCCATAATTTGAAGCAGACGGACCGGCCAGTGAAAGAATATGTAAGAGAATTCTAAAAGGTGGCCCGATGAATCAAGCAGTGGCCTGAACAATCACTGATTCACCACTTCAAGGCAGGCTTAGAGCGTGAATTATTCCATGCGTGCAACTACAGGGGGACCAGCTCCATGAATGGTACCGCCTAGCTATAACCTTAGACATCAAGCTGGATCATTACTAGAGACCCACAGCATAAGAGTCCAGACCAAAACAAGCCCAAGAAAGACGTCAGGTGTCCCAACACCCCACACCTGCCACAGCCTCTGGCTTTTCTAGAGTACCTACTGGACCTCCAATCAAGTGTTTCAGATGTGGGTAGCTTGGACACCGAGCAGCTGATTGTCCAGTCCTATTTCCTTCAACTAAAAACATGCCTACTGCCTCCACAAAACCTAAGAGGAAACCTCGTGCAGTGCAAGAGAAGTCAAATTGGGTTAGCCAGGAGCAAGCTGTGTAAATTACTTCTCCTTCCCAGGGGAAACATGAGACCTCGGCAGAGCGCTTGCCTACACCTGCCCCTTATGACAGTGATGACGAGGGAGAAGATGACCCAATGGTGAGTCAGCCTGTCCCACCTTTTGCCATCTCTGCGAAGCTCTTAGTCCCTAAGAGAGGAGTCCAGATGGTCTTGCATGTTTTAATTGACTCAGGCTACACCAGATGCCTAATCAACCTCCCCACGGTACTTAAGCTAAGCATTCATGCCGAATTATTGCCCATAGCTATGAGGTTTGAACAAGCAGATGGATCTCCTATAGGAGGGGCTCCTGCCATTCACCTAACTGAACCAGTACATCTGGAGATGGGGGAGCATTGGGAACTCATCCATTTGGTAGTGGTCCCAAAAATGACTGAGGTTGTAATTTTGGGATTAGCCTGGCTTGATAAATGGTGCCCTATGATCTGGTGGGAAAATAGAGTGAGGACTTTAAGATTGGCAATGGGACCCTTGCCTCCTACTCCGGCCAGCAGTATGTGAGGAGTTACAACAAATGAGGACCAGGGGCAGTCCCTTGAGACTCTGAAATCCATCGTAGACTCCCTGCCTGGGACACAGCTCATCCCAAGCAAATATCGAGACTTAGCTGATGCATTCAGCGAGAAAGAATGTGACATCCTCTCCCCCCACCAAACAATTGACTGCACCATTGAAATTTTGCCGGAGCCAAACTTCCCAAAATGTACTCCCAAGAGTTGAAAGAGCTGAGAGAGTACATTGATAAAAGTTTAGCCAGGGGATTCATTCAGCCAGCTAAATCCCGTATAGCTGCCCCTGTGCTCTTCAAAGAGAAGAAGGATGGGTCACTGAGGCTGTGCATGGATTTTAAAGGGTTAAACGCTGTCAGCATGGAGAATATGTATCCCCTCCCTTTAATGAAAGACATGTTAGCCCATTTAGCAAAAGGAAAGGTTTTTTTTTTACCAAATTAGACCTACGAGAGGCATACTATCAAGTGAGGATTAAAGAAGGAGATGAGTGGAAGACGGCTTTTAACAGCCCCCTGGGGAGTTTTCAGTTCAAAGTTATGCCTTTTGGTCTTCAAGGGGCCCCTGCTGTATTCATTCAATTGATCAATCAAGTGCTGCATAATCACCTGTACAAAGGGGTTCTAGTCTACCTTGATGACATCCTCATTTACACAGAGACCATGGCAGAGCATATTAAATTAGTATGTGAAGTACTAAAAAAAACTGCTGAACGCCAAGCTTTACGCAAAACTCTCAAAATGTGAATTCCATTGAATGCATTTAGACTACCTAGGATACAGACTTTCCAGTGAAGGGGTGGAGATGGATCCAGCCAAGGTTAAAGCCATAATAGAATGGCAACCTCCACAGACCTATAAACAGCTTCAAAGTTTTTTGTGATTCACAAATTTCTACCGGCAATTCATCCCCTCTTTTGCTGAGATAGCTTTCCAATTACTGAGCTATTAAAGACTGGGAAAAAAATGGGTGGGAGAGGGGGGAGCCATGACCTTGTCAACCCCTGCCATGGTCCATAGAATGCCAAGCTGCATTTGAGAACTGAAAAACACTGTTTGCAGCTGAACCT